GTATTTTTGATGGTTTTTCATCTACTTTTCCCCAAGGTGTGTGTTACGTACTGAAGTTCTCACCCTGGGCCAGCAGGGGGATACCGTAGATAGTTCAGGTCCACATATGCAAATAAGGGATCAAAAGTGACGTTCAGTGATTGGATAGTTACAGAAAATGGTTACTGTTGTGTTCTAGTGGAGCTCTATATAAGCAGGCTGGCTGAGCCCTTCAGTTCAGTTCTGTTCTGACCTGTGAATAAACAAGAGCTGTTCGAAGAATCGCTGTGTCGTCTGATATGTTCACCCACAATTTAACAGTGTGTTTATATCATATGCCAGGGCCATCATTCTGAATTTGCCGCTTGTATGGTTTTAAGTACCAGCTCCTCTCTGATCCATAAACCCCACCTCCAGTTCTTAAATCCACTGGCACACTAAACAAGTTGTCTATACTGAATTGTTCAAACAAAGAACCATGAAGAGAGAGCAATGGTATTGGCTTGGCTCAAGGCCTTACATTCCCAATCCAACAAATTGTGGATACATGCAGTGGAAGCCATTTGACTTCTGAGGTGCATTCGAAAATGGAAGCCATTTGAAAACCCAAAAGTTCAGCAATGGAGACATTCAAAAACTGAGGTACCACAGTATCACTATACAATTATGTTGATCCTCGTGGAAAACCATTCCAGTATCAGAGCCACATTACAGGGACCAATATCAGAGCCACATTACAGGTTCCATAAGAATAATAGGAAATATTCACAATTCACAGAGTTTAGGACTGGCGAGTCAATGGGGCTATTAGGCTAACATTGGAAAAACCTGCATTAACAAACAGAATCGAGTACCGTCAAGCAAAATAACTGAAGGTGTTTATCTGTTTTAACAGTCTCTGTTTTATCTCTTTCAAAGCAAAGCAATGTGATTATCCCCATATAGAGAATGGAGCACTATCTTGGTCCAACACATACTACAGTGACGTCTATTTTCCAAAAAGGAGGGACAGACAATTAGTTTCAGATGCAAGCACGGCTTTCTGCCAGAAAATAAAAAGTACTGGTATAGAATTAGATGCACCAAGTTGGGCTGGGATCCAGAACCGAAATGCTTCAGTAAGTGTATGTTTCTCTTATTCTCCTTGAGCTAAGAAGGCACCAGCAACATTAATGATGGCTGCTGAGGTGCTTTCAAAGAGTTAGTCTACCTAAGATGGAAGTAGCATATAAGTCAAAAGCAGGGCTGACCCGTTCTATTTCATCACCTGAGTCAAAACAGAAAGGTTCCACTCCCGCTCTGCTGTCACTCTGTCAAAGCCTCACTTAGTGGGGTTGCATGGCTGTAGCTTCCAGGATGCGGCAAGATCTTATGAGAGATTGGCGAGATATTGCCGGAACCCAGAAGCTGGATGCAACTGAAGGCTGCCATAGCTCCCTGGTGCTGGCACCTTCCTTCTATGTTTTCCCACCTGACATTTCAAACTTGCTTGTAAATATGAGCCCTTTCTTGGCATTTCAAATCCCTTGTGCAACAAAGGAGATTGGGGATGCGCGTGCAAGTCCCCACCCACTCCTTATCACATGGGGTTTTTTGAATGCCTGAATAGGGCTAGAATTTGCAAACATTCATTCCAAACCTGCTTTATGACAATCCCTGTGTGTGCGTGCCATTATTCTGCAGGCATGCCTAAAAAGTGCTGAATATCATCTTGGGTGTAGCAGAATGTAGCATTCGGAGAATCTTGGTTCTTTCATTTTTTAAGAAAGTAAGTTTCTTAGGAACTTATACTAGGAAGCTGCCTTATACTAAGCAAGAGACTCTTGGTCAGTATTGCATAGTGTGATGCCATTCAATATTTGGCAGTGGATTTCCATGGTTTCATACAGGGGCCTGTTCCATAGCTGCTTTCTGGACCAGGACGTCCAAAAGTATTTTGCGTACTGTTCTCTAATAAAGGTTTTGTACACATTTCCTCTCTTTCCATTCATGCATATGTGTTTGTTTTGCCTTTAGGACAATGCACCCCTCCTAAACCCTTGCCACATGGTGAAGTAATTTACGACTCTGAGAATAACTTCATCGAGGGTGATAACGTTTCGTTTCGTTGTGATGCAGGCTATCTACCTGAAAATCAAGCAACGGCCACGTGTACAAAAAATGACTGGTCGCCTACTCCAAGTTGTTCCTACATGTGTAAGCTTTACTTGATAACTGATCAATACACCTCGGATTGTGGATACAGCCTATCTGATTCTGCCTTAAACAAGCCACATTAACTCCATACCCTTACTGCCATGATAGTTCTGTACCAACAAATTCCTTTAATAAGGTTTTGAGGGGACATGGAATAGAACTGAATGCCTCTGGGCTGACTCTAAGGCCCATCCACGCTCCTGTTTGTCCTATGATTTCTAAGCAGGGGTTGGAGACGATTTTCTTTTGTCCCACTGCTTTCCCTGGGAAAACCCATTGTTTACTGCTGAATCGGAACAAACACTGATCTGCAGAAAACTCAACCAATGTTTGTTCCGATTCAGCAGTAAACAGCAGGTCTTTCTGGGCAAAGCGGTGGGGCGAAAGAAAAACCTATAGGACCTAGATATCAAACAGATATGTGGACGAGCCCTTAGCTTTCAGTGTGATCCTATAAATCCTTTATTTACAGTGGCACATTTCTGTATTTGCACTGCAGCCCAAACAGGAAATTAGATTAGGTTTCATAAATGGTTCCATAGCAATCTGCTCAGATTTATGAGACCAGAGGCTCAGTCCTCTGGTCTAGGCAAGATGGTTTTTTTTTTTTTTTTAAAGAATATTTATTCCAATTTTAAGATTACATAGAAAGAAAAAAGCAAAAAAAGAAAAACAAATCACATACACCCTACAGAAAAAGAACAACACATGATACAGAAAAAAATACAAAAGACAAAAAATCACAATACAAAAATAACAAAAAATCAAATTAAACCATTAGGATCGTTTTCCCATTTACTTATTTCCGAGACTTCCTCTCACTTCTCTGCTTTGTATTCTAATTTGAGTCATATCTCCAGCAAACCCTTCTAACCTTCTTTTCATTTACTTAATTTAACATTCAAAAATATTTAATTCTCCTCTATTTTTTATTTTACACTACATATTTACTTATTCCGTTATACTCTGTCTGCCAATACAGTCTATATTCTTCTCCAACCTTTTCTAACATTCTTTTATATTACAGTATTTCTGAAGATATGTTTTAAATTTTTTCCAATCTTCTTCCATCGACCCTTCTTCTTGGTCTCGTATTCTGCCGGTCATCTCAGCCAGTTCCATATAGTCTATCACTTTTCTCTGCCATTCTTCTCGGGTAGGCAATTCTTGTGTCTTCCAGTATTTCCCAATGAGTATTCTTGCTGCTGCTGTCGCATACATAAAGAAATTCCTATCTTCCCTTCGCACCAGTTGACCGACCATGCCCAAGAGGAAAGCCTCTGGTTTCTTCAAGAAAGTATATTTCAATACCTTTTTTAGTTCATTATATATCATTTCCCAGAAGGCCTTGATCTTTGGGCACGTCCACCAAAGGTGAAAAAAGTACCTTCATTTTCTTTACATTTCCAACATTTATTATCAGGCAGATGATAAATTTTTGCTAGCTTGACTGGGGTTAAGTACCACCTGTATATCATTTTCATTATGTTTTCTCTTAAGGCGTTACAGGCCGTAAATTTCATATCTGTGGTCCATAACCGTTCCCAGTCAGCAAACATAATATTATGCCCCACATCTTGCGCCCATTTAATCATAGCAGATTTAACCATTTCATCCTGTGTATTCCATTTCAACAGCAGATTATACATTCTTGACAAATTTTTGGTTTTAGGTTCTAACAATTCCGTTTCCAGTTTAGATTTTTCCTCCTGGAAACCTATCTTTTATCTAAGTTAAAAACCTCCCTTATTTGATAATAATGCAGCCAATCTCGAACTTTAGTTTTTAATTTGTCAAAGCTCTGCAATTTTAATTTATCTCCGACTTGTTCTAAAATTTCACAATATTTTGACCAGTTTGTCTCCATATTTTTTTTTTCAAAGCCTTAGCCTCCATTGGTGACAGCCACCTTGGTGTTTTACTTTCCAACAAATCCTTATATCTCACCCAAACATTGAATAATGCTTTCCTGACAATATGATTCTTGAAGGCCTTATGCGCTTTGACTTTGTCATACCATAAATATGCATGCCACCCAAACACATTATCGAAACCTTCTAAATCTAAAATGTCCACATTTTCAAGAAGTAGCCAATCTTTCAGCCAA